TTATATATATATAAAGTTGGATACTGTTGCAGTCATTGCACCTGACAGTTTGCATATTTGACTGTTTGAGCAATGAAGACAGCCAGGACCAGAATTTTCAAAAGATTTGTGTTTGTGCTCTGCCAACGCGGAAAATTATCCATTTGAGCAATTTGGATTTATGTTGACTTAGAATTGACTCAGTAGAAATTCCAAACTTAACTGCATTATGGTTCACAGCATTGTGATAATTTCATGTTTTGCATTGGTGTAAAACTATGGATTATTTCTCCCTGCTTGTGGTAGGCTGATGAATATAAAGGCATCTTCCACAGGTAGAAGCAGCAGCTTCTTGCTGCTCAGGAACCTGATTATCTGCAGGAGATGTATAATGGCTTTGTGCTAATTAGGCAGCCAGGCTGCTGATTGGAGAAATACTGCTTGGCTTTTCGTTACTGGAAAGATACTAGAACTGGAAATTCCTACTTAAAATGTTTCTGAGGCTCTCATAGTGTTCAGTCAATTTTTGTTAAAACAACAGACAAACTTCAAATTGTGAGAGCGCTAAAGGAGGAATATAAACTTCTTGATGGCATCCTGTGGGTACATGAGTAGTCACAAGAATATATGTGTTACTCAGTGAATGCTACCATTCAGAAGAGTCTTGTATTATATTCATGAGAAGCAGGTGGCTACAGTGGGCTCTGGCTTGAAAAAGCTTAATTGTGTTAGAGTGAGTAATTGTTTTTTCTTTACCAAATTCTACAGTCGGGCTTAGTGTTCTGCACAGTGATGAGAAGAGTATCTGAACCCAGTAGTGAACTATTTCAGCATGAGGCATGGGATAAGATAATAATTATTAGTAGCTGTACGATATCTCAGTAGTTGTAGAGGTGTGGGTTTTTTTTTTCTTTGTTAAGCTTGCTACAAAGAAATAGATAGCATGCAAAGGTTCGATGGGGCTTTGAGCAACTGATCTAGTGGAAGGTATCCTTGCATATGGTAGGGGGTTTGGAACTAGATGGTCTCTAAGGTCCCTTCCAACCCAAACCATTCTGTGATTTATGGGAAGGAAGCTTTGCTAAGTAAAAGCTATTCTGAGATAACTAAAACTACTCTGATTCTGCAGTCCTCTGAAATACTGTGTAGGTCTATTAAGCAAGCACTTTCCAGAAAAATATGTGTGCACAGTGCTGTCCTGTGTAGTGCTTGTCATTTAGTGAAGCAACCACAAGCACATGCAGTGTTAATATTAGACAGAAAGCAGTCTGTTTACTAAAGAAATTTTATAAAAGGTTTCTGTAAAATAGTTTCCAGTGCTTTATCTCTCAATAATTCAGCATTGGTATCTTTCTTCTTTCACACTGTGATCTTACCTGAATTTAAATAAACTTTTGACGAGATACAGACATCCATTAAGACTATTTGCAAGACACAGGGTAGTGTTTGTGTTTATATTTAATGAAATTTTAGGTCTGTCAGCAACTCCACCTATGATTTGGCTGGAGAATGTAGAACATTTTTCCAGCAGTGTTTGGAATCTATTCATAAGTTGGGGACTTTCAGCTCAATTGCTCTAGAAGTATTTGTTAGTAATGGGCCACTCAAAAATAGATCCTATTGTCTTTAAGAAGGTTAGAAAAGAGAGACTCTTCAGCTTGAGTTATCACAGTCTAAATCTAGCTACCTAGTCCGATGATACCTGTAATTAGCATTGGGAATCTACAACTTTGCTAAATGCTTAAGGCTTCTGGTCCAAGAACAGGACTAGATCAAGTGTGTTGCCCACCATCACTGATGGGGCTATTTCTGCATTAATGCAGAAGAGGATGGTAAAGATGGTATTTGAACTTTATGTTGTAACTGAAAAGTCATGCACTGATAGTCACATCCTTGTAGCATTTCTGCTGAGTGAGATACAATAGGTGTTACAAAGTGTAAATGCGGTAAGAAAAACACAGAGCAGCTTAATATTTGTTTTTTGTTTGTTTTTGTTTGTTTTTTAACTGTAACATTTTGAGTTTTTGGGGAAAATCCCAGAAGATAATATGGAAATCTATTTGCTTAAATTTAGGGTGTAGCTGAGAATCCCATGGTGAAGTCTGTTCTTGATAAAACCAAACATTCAGTGGAGACCATGATCACAACGCTGGATCCTGGCATGGTTCCATATATCAGTAAGTATTTGTGACAAACCATTAAATAATACATGTAAATGTTAGAGAGATTAATATAATAGCACACCACTTCTACACTTTAAGTTTCTATATGTAGTGTGTTAATTCAAAGTCACAATACCGTACTGATTTCTCAAGTGTGTTGTCCAGTGAAACTCTCACTCTGGAGGCTGACTTTTTATGTGTGTCCTGAGGTTCGTTTGACTTCTGTATTCCACTATAGTTCAGGTAGTGGCATAGTAACACCCTTTAATTCAGATTCTGAAAGATGAGGAAGTTATAAAGAAAAAAAAAACAATGAAGAAACCTTGTCTATAATCCCTAAGTTGCGTACTGTTTTCTCCCACTGTGTCTATGTTTAAGCCTTATGGAGTTGAGTTTAAAATACACTCTATGTGTTCTGTTGGATCACATGCTTAAATACTACTGTGTAAATACCACATTCAAGTTAAAACAAGCCAAAAGGTAGGCATACTCAGACATAGGACAGAGGTACTTACATAGTTTTTGAGGCTTGCTTCTGACTTTCAGCTCTTCTACTTTTCTAACCTAATAGTATTTATACTATTTTTAGGAAATTCGGCAAACTTGAAGCAGTTCCTGAATCAGTTAGTAGTAACGTTAAAATTCTAAAATGGTCTAATGAAGTCTGAAGTATTGCTGAGCATTGAGCCTGGAAGGAAAAGCATAGCATTTCAATTACAGCTTGAAAATTAATAGGAAGGAGAAGCATTGTGGTATTCACCATTTTTTGTTCTACTAGAGTACATTGCATGTCACATATAACTGACTTGAGATTTCTACTTCATTAAAATAGGGAAGCAGAAGACATAATTTGACGAGGGTAGTTGTTTGGTTTTGGGTTTTTTGTTGTTGTGTTGTTTTTTGGTTTTGTTTTTTTTTTTTCCTTCCAGCAGTCTGGTAGGCAGTCTTCCTTCTTAGTTGTGCCAGTACTGCCCTTTGTCTGCATGTAAGTGAAGCTGGTCAGGAAACTGGTAAGGCTGAGGAGAAACTATTAAAATTTTTGCATTTTGTTTTTCTGAGCTGTTTTTCAGGTAGACCTATTCTGTGATCCAGCTAACCATGTTGCTGCACTATTGTACTACTCCAGTGGACAGTATGTGGAATAAAAAGGGAAGATGACCTAATTATTGAGTAGTAGTTAATTGTCTTACATTTAAGGGAAAATATCCCAGCAGCTGACTAGTACGGACATAGTGGGATATGAAATCAGTGAGAAGGCCAGCCAGCAACTGAGAAAGTATTTGAGAGGAGTAGCAGCATACAATGCAAAGCTACAGTAAATGTTGATTATGCACAATTTGGCAAACTGTATTTAAGGTTTCTGTTGCAGTCATAACCATCCCTTTTTAAAATAGGATCTGTCAGTATCCAATGACAGTTTTGATAGTTTGACACGGTGTTTATTGGACAGAACAACATTACCTAGAGGAGGAAATAATTCTAATAAAATGCTTTGCTTGTAAGATTCAGTTAGTGTAAGCAAATTCAGTGGTTATCTCAAAGTTCTCTAAAGTCGTGTTGGAAGGGAAAGCATCTGTATACATCTTGGCCATTCATATATTGCATTTTTTTTGTAGTTGCAGGTTGTGGAAATAGGGCAGACATTTGTAAACTTAGTATTTACTTCCTTCTAGAAATGTTTTCTGGGATCAGTAAAATCCATGTCCTCAACAAGTGGCCTTACTTCTCTCTGCTCTCTCTCCACTGCTGCAATTGCAAACAAATTCCAGATTCCTCACTCCAAAGCCCGAAATTACCAAAGCTTCTGGATGAGGTGGTTGAAATTTTTTTTTTCGTATAAGCAAATAATATTTCTATAATCTCTTTTTGAAAAGAGCTGAACTGTTTTCACTGGCACATTATGAAGATGTCATCTGAGGCAAGCACCTGGAATAGAAAAATTTCTGTCTGCATAGGAAATGGTCACCTTATAAGCATAAACATCAATGCTTTTGTAACAAAAGACAACAGGGAATCTTAAATTGTATGTGGAACTGTCATTTCAGTGTATAATACACAAGGTACAATGAAATTTCATGTTCAAGTGTCAGAGCTTAACTTAATGTGGTAGTTCTGTCTCTGAATTTACCAGGGTGTATCTAATTCTTATGTTTTAGGTTTTAATATTTCCATATTACCATAGTGTGTGGCAGATCTTGTCACAAATTGTTTCTTTTAATGCATGTAATATCTTTGCTTCCGTTCTGTAGTATCTGTGATGAACAAAGATATGCTTTTGATGTATGATGATCCTTAATACAAAAGAACATAATCTGTATTCTGCTGTTGCAATACACAAACATAGGGCACAGTTACCATTCTTAAGTTACTGTGCAGTAATTTGCTAGGTACGTTATGAGTTAGTTTTTAGTTGCATTAAAAATTCTTTAACAGTTTTTCTATCCCTGGGCACTCAAACAAGGCTAACTTCAGCAAAAGCCTGCAGTCAATTTTAAGCACTTGATTACTTATGTCAACTTGATTTCTATCAAGAAGGAATCAATGAAAAAAGATACTCTCAATAATTTTTTAGTCCTGTTGTTACGCAGTGTTTAAAACAGTTGCCCAAAGTTCAGTGATGTGTGTACCCAATTCCATTCAGTAAAGCAATTGATAAATAGAAAGTTAAAAAATAGCCTAAAAAACAAATGGAATGTTTTACTGCTGTTCTGGCATATTTCTGCAATTCTTCATAAAAAGATGTTTCCTGTAACTGAGGTCTGCTAAGTAAGATGAGCCAAAGAATAAATTGTCCTTTTCTTTAAAATTTAAGCTTCAGGCTTATCATTATCAGTGGAGGAATTTCTCTTACATCAGGATAAATGCTGCAGACTTTGTCAGCATGTGTAATTAGGTGGAGTGTTAGTGTTTAGAAGCAAAACCAAAAAAAAAAAAAAAACAAAAGCTCTATTCTTCTTTCTTTTAAGGTAGCTTAACATGTTTTTGTACAGTCAGTGGGTCTGGGAAATGACAGGTTAAAAGGCTGTTTCTTCACTAGTTTGCTAATGTTGTCATAAGAGGTGCCCTGCTGGATCACAGAATCACAAAGTGGTGTAGGTTGGAAGGGATGCCTGGAGGTCATCTTGTCCAACCCCCCCTCCTTCAGCAGGGCCACCTAGAGCCAGTTGTCCTGGACTGCGTCAAGGCAGCTTCTGAGTATCACCAAGGATGGAGACTCCACCAGCTCTCTGGGCAACCTGTGCCAGTGCTTAGTCACCCTCACAGTAAAAAAGTTTTTCCAGATGTTCATATGGAACTGCCTGTGTTTCAGTTTGTGCCCACTGCCTCTGGTCCTGTCAGTGGGCACCACTGGGAAGAACCTGGCTCCATTCTCTTTGCAGCCTCCCTTCAGATATTAGTACACATCAATAAGATCCCCTTGAGCCTTTTCTTCTCCAGGCTGAACGTTCCCAGCTCTGTCAGTCTTTCCTCATAGAAGAGATGCTCCAGTCCGGTGGTTCATCTAGCTCAATATTCTGTCTTCAGCAGAAGCAACAGGAGATGCTGTATGGTAAATGACAGTAGATCTGGTGACTTCTGTAGTCCTTTCTCCTTGCACTCCTCCATCATCCATAGCCATTGGACTAAGGATGACAAGAGGCATACCTATTACTTTTAGTGCCTGCTCGTGGACATGTCCATTAATTTGTTCTTTACACTTGGTGATGCAGTTTACTTATGCAGCTTTCTCTGATGTCATATTCCATGTTTGAAAAAAGTTTAAGCTGTTCTTAAGAAAGCTTGTCACAGCAGGGACAAGTTTTATAAGATGATTTTGCATAAATTAAGTTTGACAATGAAAATAATCCAGCTGTGATAAGGACAGATATGAGGTATAATTGAGCTCATAAATCTTTAGATTTCTTTTAACTCATGAACTGTTTTGTTTTATTCTAGAAAAGCTTACTGAAAACTCATCCTTCTTTATGGAGATACAGCTATATGGAAATCATTCAGAAATATTTACAACTTCTTGGTTCCATAGATATTTAATATCTAAACACAGGATAAAGCTGTAGGGAGGCAGACAGGCAATAAAATGACACTGAAATTCACAGTCCAAGGGCAAATAGAAAATAATGCAGGCCTTTCTTTTAAAGCTTATGTAATTTGACAGCTGTTCACTGGATTTTATGAGCTGCATCTGTGTTCTTGGTCCCTTTCATAAGGAAGAGTTTGTGTGTCACACCAACATTCCTTACCACTTTCCAGAACACCAAAACATCCTTAGAAACGGATGTCTGAGTTACTCTCCTAAATCCATGAATTCTCATCTTAAATGAGTGGTATGCTTTTTTTCAGGTGCTGAACAACCATCAGTTCCTGTTGTCTGTCTGTCATCCATGAATCACTTAACTGTTCATCTAACTTCTACTTCCTACCTTAAATTACTTCTGCTTCATGAAAGAACTTTTGTACAGTGCATGAGAAAGAGAAGACCAACTGAAGCATACCCTTAAGATGTAGAATGTATTTTAATTAGCTTTTAATGGGAATGAGGAAAAATACATGCATATATATGTATATATGTTTTTTACAGAAACTGGGGGAGAATTGGACATAGTGGTTACTTCTAATAAAGAGGTAAAAGTCGCAGCAATTCGAGATGCCTTTCAAGAAGTCTTTGGAATGGCTGTTGTTACTGGAGAGGCTGCACAGTCTAACATCGCACCCCAACCTGTGGGCTATGCTGCAGGTTTAAAAGTAAGTTGATATCTAACAGTATACTAAAGTACCTCCAATGCAAAGAGAGAGTGTGGAAACATTCACCCCGAAGAATCTGATTTTCCATAAAGGGAAGGTCAATTTGTGGGATAGGTAAACATTTCCTTTTTTTTTTTTTTTAATTGCCCTCTAGATCATTAGATCAGTTTAAATCTGCTTGTTGAAATGGTTTTTGGGATTTTTTGCAAACACATTCACAGCAAATGAAGAATATGTCAGTTTTCTTATACTGTCATTGATTGCCATCACATCTAGCATACATTGTGATATTACTGTAGTTTCAAAGTGTATCAGGCATTTCTTCTTAGTCTATTACTAGCACACCACGTTGGGAATGTTAGAAATTAAAAGAGACTCTCTGAGACTGAGTTGTCTCCCCACTAATTCTGTAGATCAAAGATAGTTTGATCAACACTTGTAACTTCCCGAACAGATCTATGTTATGTTTAAAAAGTAAGAATTCACTGTGCAGCTTTGCAAACAGCTGTGCTGGCCCAGAGGAAGGGTTAGCAAAGTTTGTTTCACCAGGTTTTAAAAATGTACGTGTTCGTCAGTTGTACCTAGGTGCAACCACCTCCTTGGCCAATAACTAAAAACCCTGAAAACAACTATTTAGTTTCTGTTTCTTAAATGTAAGCAAATCATTTACTCATTAAAAAGGAAGTATTTTCTCCTACCTGCTGTGGCGGTGTTCGCAGCTGAGTAAAGCCTATCCTCATAGCAATATATTGCTATACAATTTTATATTGAGGTAAAGGAGGATAATGTATATATTCCTTTACCTGTTTAGCTACTGCAATGTAGTAGTAGTAATATTTCTATTACAACTTCAGAGTGATAACAGGTTGGGAGTGAATCATTCCTACATCTTAGTTGGATAGGTACCACAGCAAAGAGATTCTCTCCCTTGATCTTACAAAGTTGGTCCAAAGCTCTTAAAGGATCTAAACCCAACAAATCTTAAGCTGCAAAAATGTCAGTGTGAGTAGCAGAAATATATACTGATGCTTTAACTAATAATGAAACTTGGCACGGTTACAGGTTAGGAATTCTTTGCGTGCAAATCTAGGTCTTTTTCATGGAAAAATAACAAACAAAATATTTAATTAGTTTTATCATAGTTTTTGTTACTGTTTGGGATTCCATTGTGGCTTTTCTAAGTTTTGTTTTTTGTTTTTCTAACGTTAAAATAAGAGTCATTTTTCAAAATCTGTCATATTTTCTGTTTAACTTGAAAAGTATGTTCTAGAGTTCCTTTTGCATTCATCTGTAAGCATTGTACTATGTTGTGATTCAAAGAGAATGTTGTCTAACAGCTTATGTTACCATTTAGGGAGCCCAAGAAAGGATAGACAGCTTGCGTCGGACAGGAGTAATACATGAAAAACAGCCTGCTGTATCAGTAGAAAACTTCATTGAGGAATTGCTTCCTGACAAGTGAGAACTTTAAATATATTCCGGGAGGGAAGGTGGGGAGCGGGGGGAAGGAATATTTTTTGTTGACTCAAAGGGGCCTGCCGTTGCTGGCAGTATCATTCTGAGCAGAAGAAAGGAGAGAGTCTGTCTTCAGTATTGCTTTGGCATATTTGGTTTTGGTGATGATGTTCAGCTTTTTGTCCAGACATCTTGAGGCTTTAATATACAAAATCCTTGTCAGGTTTTTCAAGATTCACAATATAAAAACACAATGAAGTTATACTGAATGGACAAAATTAAGGAGCTGTAAAAGTTGGAATTTGGCTAGCAATTTGCTCACTCTTGTCTGTAACATTGTGGTGTTACAGTTCTAATATGGGGGATGCAGTCATTGTTTTGCTGATATTGTTTACCATACTTATGCATGTCCGAAGGAGAGGAGTTTCCAAGTAACCACCCACCAATACTAAGAGCTCTGCACCTAACATTTAACAGATCAGTCAATACTCACAGCTAAACTTTTCGGTTGTCCATCGGACAGCTGAAGGACATTACTTCCCCTTCCAATTGCATATCCTGTGTACTATTTGCAGAAAATGTTGCAGATTCTTTTATGTGTATTTTGCCCTTTAGAGTCAAACTCCTTTATTAATTGGGAGCAAGTTATCTTTAACCATGAAGCTTTCTCAACAGTCTTTTATAGTTGCAAGTGAGATAGTCCTCTATCACAGTGCATTCCAGTGCTCTGTTCCCCGCTAGGAAGATGATGCAAGTGAACTACTTCTTCCTGACTTGCTCCACTAAACTCTTAACATGAAGCTTATGTGGCCCAGCCAGTCGTTTCTTAAAATTGGAGTCTTGCATTTCTTTTTATAATAACTTCCTTGCTTCCCACACTTTCAAGAATAAAATACAATTTATATATAGACACATATATAAATATATAGGAAACAACAACTACAATAATGTTTTCCTTTTTAAATCTTTTATGATTCCTGGCCTTGATTTTGTGTTTGTGCTTTCCCTGGAGTCTGTTTCTCCTGTGGCAACTCAGCTGTAAAACTGTAACAGGAATTGAATACAGTGAAGTAGTGATGATGCATTGCTCTTGGTTTTATTTGGATCATGTCAGTGTTTTTAGTTTGTTGATAGGGACAAATGATTTAATGTTTTTGCAAGCTAGATAGGGAACCATTTCAGGTACTGCTTCAGTAGCCTTTACTTACTACTGCTACAGCAGGCACCATCTTTTCTGAAAGGTGCGGAAGTGTTTCTCTGAATAAATAATTTAAATGATTGTTATGAGATTAGATATACCAAAAAATCTTCTGAATATAGAACATGAATGATAAATAGATTTTTTTTTTTTTAATTGTTAGGGAAGGTTATCTTAATAAGAAACATACTTTCAAAGATTGAATGAAAACTGTAGCATAATAAATATGGCCAAAAGAATGTATCTGCATGCATGCCTACCTCACCAGCTTTCTTTGTTTCTTTGATCTGTAAGTTTCAGGTATTCTGTATATTTTTATGTATATTATGTATTTTACATGCATACACATGTACTATAATTTTATATATATAAAAATTGATACATGCAAATTTTACTGGAAAAACACTTTGATGAAACTCATTATTACATTATTACAACGTTTGTAGTAGAGCTTGCAAAATGGTCATAATTCAACTGCTAACATGCTGTTTTTCAATTGAGTAATACTCAGTACTCAAAAGTAAAGTAACTTGCACATCATTGCAGGTGGTTTGACATTGGATGTCTGATTATTGAGGATCCAATTCATGGAATTCATCTGGAAGCTTTTACCCAAGCAACACCAGTGCCTTTGCAATACGTTCAGCA